AGCCTCACAAATGGAACAGAGTGAAAAAGCCCCAAAATGTCCAGCAGGTGAACTGGAGGTTAAGGCATAGAATCCCAAGTGGCCAACTGCACGGTTCGAGTCCCAGACCCAATGGCTTGAAAGACATGCCAGGGTTTTGGGCTGTGCCCAAAATTACAAGGGAGAAGGGATTATAGTGAGCTCCCCCCACCCCCCCGGGCAATTTCTCCCTTTCCTTTCTTTCTATTAATATCTGTCTCTCTCTGCCAAGTGCATGTACCCTATAGCAAAACAAATACTAAAAAAAAAAACCAAAAAACAGGGACCAGCAGTTGGCGTAATGGCTATGTCACTGGACTCTCATGTAGTCAATCACTGTTAAAGTCCTGGACCTGGCCTTAAACTCACACTGGGCGCATGTGCATGCGTGCCCAAGATCCTGAGAGGAGAGTGGAGGAGAAGGGACTGTGATCTGGCCATACTCCCTTGGGGGTGACTTCTCACTTTCTGTCCCTCCTTGTCTTTCTGGCAAGTGTACACACCCTATAGCAAAAAAAAAAAAACTCTCACACCCCCTATAGAAAAAAAAAACCCCTCCACAAAAAAAAAAAAAAAAATCCCCCCAACCCCAAAATCCTCCAAAACAGACTAACCCTAGAAGACTTAGTATACGTTTAAAATGGCATTTCAGGTCAGCGGCAACTTGAGACCGTGGGAAGAAGGGGCAGGTGCTTGTATCACTGTACGAGAGAGGCTACCCAAAACACTGGTGGAGCCACTGGTTGCCTAGGGCGTTAGCGAGCAGATACAGTGAGGATGGGGTACTTGAGGACGGGGTAGAGCTGCTGCCTTTTCCCACTCTAGCTGTGTAAGAGGCCATTTCGGCATCAGTGTGGTAGTTAAGGTGTCTGGGTACCACATGGCTCATTGTGCGGTCTGAGTCCCAACCTGGTGGCTTGAAAACCCCACTGGATTTGTGTTCATGTGTGCCCAAAAGGATGGAGAAATGGAGAAGAAATTGCAGCATGGCTGTCCCCCTGGGGCGGGGGCTGCTCTCCCACTTTTTCTCTGTCTCTCTGTGGTGAGCACATGCGCGCTGTGGCAAAATTTTTTTAAAAAAAGAAAAAGTAAAAGAAAAAAGGGCAGTTTTAACAACAGCAGGAAATGTGGGGATGAAGACAGCTGATGTCCATTTGTGACTGTGAACACAGCCCTTGACCAACTTGCTTCATCGAAGAAGTCAGCTTATCAGTTTGTCTGCAGGAGGCCCACCTTAGAGGAAATGTTTTCTTCTATTTTCCGCCTACCTGGCTGGAAGTCTTGTGTTACAGCGCGGATATATGGGTCCTCAGCAGGGAACGTGTAGATCGAATGAAGTGAGGGAAACAGAACCGTTAAGAATGTGTTGCAGGGACTCACACCTGAAGGTGAGATTGCTTCCTGTGTAGTTCTGTACACACTGAGCATTAGAGCCCCCGGATGGTCCCAACAGCACATGGTTGTCTTCCCATCTGAAACTGTCATTAAAGTTTATTCTTATCATCATGAGACATATTTTCAATTTTAATATTTTTCAGATTAAAGTTGTATTGGATGATAGTTCACTTAAGATGTGGGCCATCCCAAAGATTAGTTATTTCCCAGAACTGGTAGTATTTGTTATTTTGAAATTGTGAAAAATTAAATAATTATGGCTGTCTTAACCATCTTAACAGTCTAGGTGGATTTCCTACATGTAAAGGCTAATGCTGAATCTTAGATTCCCCTGCTATGAGAAACCTTTGTTTGTTTGTTTGTTTGTTTGTTTGTTTCTCTCTCTCTCTCTCTCTCTTTCTCTCTTTCTCTCTTCCTTTTTTTAAGAGGTTTTTTGCCATAGGGCATGTGTGCTTGCCAGAGAGAGACAGAGACAGAGACAGTGAGAGGAAAAGTGAGGAATCACCCCCCAGGGGGGATGGCCATGCCACAGTGCCTTCTCCATTCTCCTTCTGGTATCTTAGGCGCACATGCACACTCACCCAGTGTGATTTTCAAACCACCAGGTCCGGGACTCAAACTGTGATTGGCCATGTGGTATTCCAGTGACATAACCACTATGCCATCTCCTGGCCCTCTGTTTCTGCATTTCTTTAGCTTATTGGTTAGGCCAACATGCTAATAAAAAATGCCTGCCTTGAGAGTCTTTTGGACAAAATAGCCTTCTTGTTGCCTCACTATATGGATTGTCTCTCTCTCCCTAATCTACACATTTTGTAAGGTATCTCTCTGTAAGGAGAGATCAGGAGAATATTTGCATTAATCATTTAAACATTTGCATTAAACATTTGCATTGATTAAGATATTCCAAAGTGCCGTTATCGCTCATGGGTCCATAGCATCATTTTGGTGTTGAAAAGATAATCATTTATTGGTTTATTTCTATCATTTTACCAATCCCTTCTCAAAATTACTTTCTGTATATCTAGTGAGTACCACTCAGATTGGAAATTTGTGCTGGTGCACTCGCAGTAAGAAATATAAGTTCAGGCTGGCCCAGTGGCCTGGTGGTTAAGGAAACCAGATCCTACACGGCCAATGGTGCAACAGGAATTCCAGCCCTGGTGGTTTGAAAAAGACATGGCATGTGCGTACTTGTTCAGAATCCCAACTGGATGGACAAGTGGAGGAGTAGGGATTGTAGAGTGACCACGCCCCATTAGGAGGTGCTATTTCTTTCTCTCTCTGGCAAGTGCACATACCCTCTGGCAATTAAAAAAGAAAGAATGGGGCCAATAGGTGGCGTGGTGATTAAGGTCGCTGGACTCCCACATGGCCAGCCATGGTTCAAGTCCCAGACCTGGTGGCTTCCTTTCTCACTTTCCCTCTCTTTCTTTCTCTTACTCTGTCTCTCTCTGGTCCAATTAAACTAAAAAAATAAATAAAGTTAAATTTAAAAAATAATTTAAAAAAAAGAAAGAAATAGGAGTTTGCTGCAAACTTGAGATTTTCAAGTATGTTATACTCTAAATTGTCTTTGAATTGACTACTTAGAAGAGACTAGTCATTTTTATTTTCCTGTTTGAAATGAATTATACTTATTTCTTGGAGCACTGAGAAGAAATTTCTTTCTTTTCTTCCTTTGTTCTTTTTATTAACAGTTTAACCGAAATTTAATTCACATATTGTAAAATTTACCTATTTATATAACTTAGTGATTTTTAGTTTGCTCTAGAGTTTGCTTTCTTGCTAACAGAATCTTTACTCTTTTTGATGAATTTTTGTACAAATTTACATAGGCATTTTACTGTGGACAGGGCATCTATTTTAGAAATTTAAGATGATGTTAATGGCTAACTTAATTCATATAATTCCTTCAGATCTTTGGAAAAATAAAAATAAACAGTCCTATTAAAAATGGTCAAAAATGGGTCCTGCAGGTGGTATAGCAGTTAAGGTGTTGGACTTCCTCCTAGCTGACTGCAGTTTGAATCCCAGACCCTATGGCTTGAAACTCACGTTGGTTGTGTGTACGGGCTTGTGTGCAGGCGTGACCAAAATCCTGGGAGGAGAATGGAGTAGAAGGGATGTCAGTGTGACCATCACCCCCCACCCTTGGGGAGAGTGATTTCTTGCTTTCTGTCTCTCTGTCTCTCCAGAAGGAACATGTGCCCTATACCAAAAATCTCTTAAAAAAATAATAAAAATGAAAAGGTAAAAAATGGCAGTTCAGTAAGTAAAACTATAGATGGTCATTAAACACATGAGAAATATTTACTCCACTAAAAATTAATGAGCTGAAAAACATTGAAATTAATTTATATGTTTTATGACACTAAGTCAACAGAAGTTGAAAAATCATGTAGAATGCCAAATTTCTTCAAATTCAAACATGAATTTTAAATAGTTGGAACTTTTATTAGAGATTTTTGCTATAAGGTACATGCGCTCACCAGAGAGAGACAGGTGAGAAATCACCCACTGAGGGGATGGCCATACTACAATCCCTTCTACTCCATTCTCCTTTCAGGATTTTGGGCGCACACGCATACATTCCTGGGGTGAATTTCAGGTACCGGGTTCAGAACTCGAACATGGTCGGCCATGTGAGAGTCTAGTGCCTTAACCACTAGACTACCTGCTGGACCCACGGTTGGAATTTTTTTAGAATATTATTTAAAAGAAAAGGACTATTGTACTACTTAAATTGAGATCTGAATGAAAATATTTCCTAAAGTAGTTCATCTAGAATTGAATTAGAACATCAGATTCTTTTCCAGAGCACATCAGTATTCCATCAAATTCTTTTCTCAAGTGTATCAGTATTTCATCATTTAGTTTCAAGTTCCTTATGTATCTGATCTCCAGTTGCAGCTTTTTCATTTTTAAACAGGATAAGTAATCTTTAGTTTTGACCTGTTTAATGATACATTCACAAAATCGTTCTGCCCTGAGGTTATTCTTATTGCATATTTCACTGACTCAATCTTTAAAAAAAAGACTGTTGAGATCCTCCTGCCTCTGCCACCCAAGTCGCTGAGACTATAGGAACACATCAGTGAACTTGGCTTTTAGGTTGGTCCAGGAATCAAACCAGTCCCCCTGATTTAATCTTAAATCAGATTAGTTTCTTATCTAGCATTTAGTTCACCTTAGAGCATATTTTGGTTTCCAGTGAATCTTAAATAAGAATTTTCACTGTCATTTGACTTTGGGCAATTTACCTCTCCACTAATGATTTCTGGAGAGAAATCTTCCCCCTGGAAAGGTCATTGCTCTTTGTTCCTTTTGCAGATTAACTGATGTGCCTTTTCTCTTATTAAACTCTTATCTCTAAGCTAAAGGTTTTCTATCTTTTATTGATAAACTCATTCAATTTTTCAATAATCCTTTACTGTGAGGAAATTCGACCTAGTCATTCAAGTACTTATTAAAATGCCTTTGAGTTTTATTTTTTTAACATCGAAGGTGTGTGAGTGACATTTGCTTTGCTTTAGTTTGGCTAGGAGAACTGTTTAAAAATTGTGACTTTTTGAAAATCATTACAGGTTTTTTGTTTTAAACAATGAAGCTGGACTACTGGAGTACTTTGTGAATGAACAGTCTAGAAACCAAAAACCCAGAGGTACTTTGCAGCTGGCAGGAGCTGTAATATCACCCAGTGATGAGGACTCTCACACCTTCACTGTAAACGCTGCCAGTGGGGAACAGTATAAACTCAGAGGTATGACAGAGGTGAAATTACTGCGCTGCTTTTCTCTTCGAGACGATGATGTCCTGACCTGTCTTCAGTTGGGTTTAGGAAATAGAAACGAATGTCATCAGTGATACAGACACAATATTCTGAATCTTGGAACTGCTTTGAGGATTTATGACATGTTTCAGTTGTTTTTATCAAGTGGGTCAGTGAACAAGTCAGTTTAGTATTGGGCCCTCTAAAATGTCTGTTGTAACTTGGCTCAACCTGGTGGCAGAGTCGGTAGCAAACTGAACTGCAGTGCTGGAAGCCTAATGGCCAACCATGGGTTTGAATATTTGGGTTGACCTGAAAACATGCCAGGTGTGTGTGTGCACATGCCCAGGTTCCCGACAAGCTGAAGTAAGAAAGTGTGATAGACCTTATGGAGGGGAGGGTGCCTCCCTCCTTTTCTCTCTCTCTTTCCTGCACATGCTGCCTATCACAAATAAAATAAAAATTGTGTAACTGAAACCCTCATTATGGAAAATCTAAAAACACACTTTTTTTTTTTAAGACTTGTTTATTTAATTTGATTTATTCATTCATTTATTTTAACTTGACCAGAGAGAGACAGACACAAACACACACACACACACACAGAAAGAGAGAAGGAAAGCCACCAGGTCTGAGACTTACACCATGGTCAGCCATGTGAGAGTGTCCAGTGCCTTAAACCACTATGCCACCTGCTGGTTCCAAAACAAACTTTTTAATAGTTTGTTTATTTCTTTCATGAGAGAGACAGAGAGACAAGCTTCTTCAACTGGGTCTTTATGCCATAGTCCACCCCCAATGAAAATATAGACCCCCAGGGAGGATGTCCATGCTGCAGTCCCTTCTCCATTGTCCTCTCGGGATCTTGAGCATGCACGCACATGCGCCCAGTGTGAGTTTAAGCCTCTGGGTCCGGGACTCAGACCGTGGTCAACTATGTGGGAGTCCAGCGACACAGCCATTTTGCCAACTGCTGGTCTCTAAATGCTGTTTTTACGTCTGCCATAGAGATGTATTTTCCCCTTTACTCGATTTGGTTTGTATGCCCTCTTTGCAGTTTACAGTAGCTAATGTACATAGTTTGGTTAAAATGTCCATATTCGTTAAAATAAAGTATAACTTCTGTTAAGATAAATTTAATTTGGGGACCAGCAGGTGGTGTGCTGGTTAAGGTGCTGGACACTCCTACATGACTGATCATGGTTCGAGCCCCAGACCAGGCGGATTGCTTTCTGACTCTCTCTTTCTCTCCCTCTCTGTGTCTCTTTCTGGTCAAATTAAAAAAGAAATAAATGAATAAATTTTAAAAATTAAAAAAAGATAAATTTAATCTGCATAGAAGTTTGTGTTTTTAATAAGTACACAAATTATAATGGTAATCCTATTTAAACATGCTTCTACAGATCTGAAAGCATTGATCACATATCAAATCTGTAATAAAGATTATTTTTTTAAATAAGAGCATATTTTTCTGAGGAACTTAAGACATGCCAGTCTCATATTCCCACCTGGCTGCTTGTAATTCATCCTCCTTATAAAATATCCACATCCAGCTATTGTGTTCCCTCATGTGGTTAATACTTTGGCCTCTTTTCTACCTTCTTCCAGCCAGAGACATTTGCTGGTGGATTAGGACACCAATCTCTGTTTTTCAGTCACCTAGTCTTTATATCATAGACTCTTAATTGTATTCCAAAAGTACTGTAAAAGTCGATAACTTTCACATTCTTTTTATCAGCCACAGATGCTAAAGAGCGACAGCACTGGGTTAGCAGGCTTCAGATATGTACACAGCACCACACTGAAGCGATCGGAAAGGTATGTGGACTCACATGCGCTATTACTGCGCAAAACCGAGCAAAGTATTTTTTGGTGTTTTTACATTTTGAAATTGAGATGTACCTTAAAAGTTACCCTTTTAAAAGTGTGCAATCCCGTGATTTTTATTATGTTCATAAGGTTGTGTGTCTAATTGCAGAACGTTTTTGTCCTACCTCCAAAAGCCCATACCTGTTAGCAGTCACTCCTGATTCTCCCCTTTCCAAATCCCTTATGAGTACTGTTTTCACACATTTGTCTGTTTCTGGGCATTCCAAGTAAATGGAATCATATAGTATGTGGTTGGTTGCATCTTGCTTCTTTTACTTACCATAATGTTTTCAAGGTTTATCCATGCTATTACATCGATCAGTACTTTATTTCTTTTTGAAGGCTGAATAATATTCCGTTACGTGGATATATTACGTTTTGTTTATCCATTCATTAGTTTATGAACATTTGGGTTTCCATTTTATAGGTATTATGAATAGCACTACATGAGCAGTTGTGTTCAGCTTTCTGTGTGAACATACGTTCTCAGTTCTCTAGGACGTGCATAAAGGAATGGAATTGCTGGATTACATGGTAGTTCTATGCTTAACTTTTTGAGCTACAGCCAAACTGTTTTCCAAAGTGGCCATACCGTCTTACATTCCCACCAGCAAGGTGTGAGGGTTCCAGTTTCTCTAATCTTTGCCACCACTTGTCATTGTCCTTTAAAAAATTGGTATAGTAATCCTGTTGGGTGTAAAGTAGACTCCTAAGGTTTTCATCTCCCTAATGACTAATCATGTTGAGCATCTTTTCATGCGCTTATATAGCTTAGTCACTTGTATATGCAGGGGTCTTTAAAAAGTTCATGAATAATGCATATTATGAAAAAACTATGCATGGATTTCTAAATTTTTTTGGACCAAAATAAGCTCTTTTATTCCACTTTTATGTGAGATTTTTGAAATCCCCTTGTATCTTCTTTGGAATGTATTTTTATAGTTTAACCAAAAAAAAGGAGTCTTACTACTTGAAATCTGAGGGCGGCGTAGCAGGTGACATGGTGGTTAAGGTGCTGAATTCCCACCATGGTTTGAGTTCCAGACCTGGTGGCTTGAAAATCATGTGGAGTGTGTGTGCGTGTATGTTCCCCAAACCCCAAGAGGAGCATCGAGGAGAAAAGATTGCAGTGTGGCCATCACTCTTGAGGGGTGATTTCTTTTTTTCTCTGGCAAGTGCATGTGCCTGTGGCAAAAACCTTAAAAAAAAAGAAAGGAAGGAAGAAAGAAATCTGAGGATAAGCAGCATATTTAAGGAATTCTCTATGTAGATGATATGACATCTACGACTTCTATTTTTTTCTTTCATTCTTACCCTCTAAGTAAGTGTATATGTGTGTATGTGTGTGTGTGTGTGTGTGTGTGTGTGTGTGTGTGTGTTAAGGTGGTTTTTTGTTCTGTTTTTTAAAAGATAGGGCCTCACTATGTGACAGTTCTCCTACCTCAGCCTCCTAAGAGTAGTTGAGACCACAGGTATGCACCAACTGTGTGTGGTCTTTTTGAGTAGGTGGGGATTGAACCTAGGCCTCTCAAGTGGCTTCAGCCTATTAAGCAGCAATGTCTAGAATACAATACTGCAGTTGCAATTTTTAAAAATTGTTTGCAATTTAGGCCTACAGCTAGTGTTCAGGAAACCTGACATGATAGCTTTACTCACACTGCAAGCTTCCAGTGTTTGTCAGTGATCAAAAGGTGCTAGTTTGTTCCTGAGGTATTTGCCTGTTACAGTAAAAAATACATTGTGTTGTGTATTGCTGAGTATACTTTTTGCACTAATCATAGTGTATAAAAATCAGAAATTAGAGGGGCCAGTAGGTGACATGGTGTTTAAGGTGCTGGACTTCCACATGCCCAACTGTGGTTCCAGTCCCAGACCTGGTAGTCTCATTGTAGTGGGTGCATGTATGTGCGTGTCCAAAATCTTGAGAGGAGAATAGAGAAGGGATTGCACTATGGCCATCCCCTTGAGGGATGATTTCTCATTTTCTCTCTTACCATCTCTTGTAAGTTCACCTGCTCTATGGCAATGATCTTTAAAAAAAAAACACTAAAACTAGAGAATTTTTGTTACTCTAATATTTGTGAAATCTTGGGACCAGCAGTTAGCGTAATGGCTATGTCACTGGACTCCCACGTAGTCGACTGCGGTTCAAGTCCTGGACTCTGTGACTTAAACTCAAGCCGGGCGCGTGTGCGTGCGTGCCCAAGATCCCAAGAGGAGAATGGAAGAGAAGGGATTGCGGCATGGCCATCCCCCCTGGGGGGTGATTTCTCGCTTTCTATCTCTCTGTCTCTCTCCGTCTTTCTGGCAAGCGCACGCGCCCTCTAGCGAAAACGTCTCAGAAAAAAAAAAATTTGTGAAATCTCAAAAAAATCCCTTCATAGCGAAAAACTGGAGGTTAGCTTTCTAAATGACTTACCAGGCTATTAGGAGATGTGTGAAATGCTTAAATTCTAAATATCTTAAATTTTTTCATCTTCAGCAAAGTGCTTTTGATCAATTCTGAGATTTATTACTTTTTTTTTTGTAGGCCTCAAGTATATGGTAGTTTGATGATTAGAAAGTCTAAACTAAGAGAAAAAAATAAAGGAATAATTTCTTTGTCTAACAGAACAATCCTCCTCTGAAGTCACGGAGCTTCTCACTTGCATCGAGTGGTAATTCTCCTATATCCCAGAGGAGACCTAGTCAAAATGCCATTTCTTTTTTTAATGTTGGACATTCCAAACTGCAATCAGTGAGCAAAAGAGCCCATTTGCCACCAGATCATCTTGTGGAAGTCAGAGAAGTAAGTATGCAGTAAAACCAAGTTAAAATTCACACAATGGTATCTTGCTTGCTTGATTTTTATCACAGAACTGTTGTAAATATTATTAAGTTGTCAGAGAAGTCATGATGTATTTTTTTGTTTTTCTATGCAAAAATATGTCATGACTTTTCCTATGACACAATATTTGTATCTTCTGGTGCCCTCATTGTTTCCCGTCTAGTATAATGAAATAATTTTTAAGTCATAAAGATTACCCAATTTTATATATATAGCATTCAAAGTTTCCTCATTCTGTCAACTGTGTGTTAGGTACACTTTTTTCAAAATCCTATCTTTCAGCTCTTAAGTAAGAGTACAAACTCCTTTGATGTAGTATTTGTGATGAAAGGGTTCTTGAGCCTAGTGGGAAGGCTGTATAACCAAAGAAGTGATTCTCTTTCTTTTATTAAAAAAATTACCACAGGGTATGCGTGCTCGCTGGAGAGAGGCACAGAAAGAGAGGCAAAGTGAGAAAGCACCCACCTTGGGGAATGGTCAAACTCTAATCCCTTCTCCTCCGTCTCTTTTTTACTTTAGGAGATTTGGGGCATGCACATACACATGCCTGGCATGTTTTTCAAGCCACTGAGTTTGAGACTTGAGCTGTGCAGTTGGCTATGTGGAATCCAGTGTATGTAATAAGCAGGCCATGAGCTGGCCCAGAATCTCTTTTTTTAAAAACCAATATATATGGAAAGTTTCACACATTCACAAAGAACAGTTAAATCCTGATGTTGATTTTTGCCATTTCTTTTTCTCTTTAAAACTGAGTACCAAGTAATTCTATTCTAATTAATAAAGGATGCAGTTCAGTAGTTTCTCAGTATTCTAGTCATTGTTTACTGACTTAAATTTGGAAATGTTTACAGATACTTCTACAGTAGGTTGGTGCAAATAAGGGTTCAAGGCAAGAGGCTGGGGAGAGTGTACCCTCTACACATTATTTTGGGTTGTGTTTACAGATGAAGAAATTAAGGTTTAGAGAGGTGAAGTAACATGCTTCAGGTATGCAGAGATAGCTTTTGGTTCAATTTCTAGTTCTGTTAAAAAGTTTATAGTTCCAAAGACTTTTTCATAAACCAATATATTTTTAATATTCACGATGATGATATTTAGTTTGATACTTAGGTAAATATCAGTGTCTGTGTTTTAAGGAAACGAGGTTGCTTCTGTCTTAATCTAGAGTGGAGAAAAAGGAAGCATTGAAAGTGGTTGGGTGGGGCAGCAGGTGACGTGGTAGTCCAGTGCCTTAGTACTGACCTCCCACATGGCTGACCGTGGTTTGAGTCCTGGCCCTGGCAGGTTGCTTTTTCACTTTCCCTTTCTCTTTCCCCCTCTGGTCAAATTGATAGTAATAATAATAATAATAATGAATAAAGTTAAATAAAATAATTCTTAAAAATAATTTATAAATGGTATTACTTGGTTTTTTATTTTTTTAAAAAATATTATTTATTTATTAATTTATTTATCTCCATTGTTCTTATTATTTTTTAATTTGACCAGACAGACAGACAGAAAGGGAAAATGAGAAAGCAAGCCACCAGATCCAGGACTCAAACTGTCATCGACAATGTGGGAATCCAGTTCCTATAACCACCATGCCACCTGCTGGCCTGGAAATGGTATTATGTGGTTCTTTTAAAAAAAAAAAAAGTGGTTAATGGTACCAGCAGATGGCATAATGGTTACATCGCTGGATTTCTATGTGGTTTACTGCAGTTCAAGTTCTAGATGCAGAAGCCTAAAACCATGCCAGATGTGTGTTTGTGTGTACCCAAAATCCTGAGGAGAGAATGGAGGAGAAGGGATTGGGGTGTGGCCATTCCCCTTGGGGGGTTTGATTTCTCGCTTTTTATCTCTGTCTCTGGTGAGTGCATGAGCTCTATAGAAAAAATTGCAAAAAAAAAAAAAAATGTTAAGATAGTGCATATAGGGACCAGCAGTTGGCATAATGGCTGTGTCACTGGGCTCCCATGTAATCGACTGCGGTTTGAGTACTGGACCTGATTGTCAAAAACACACTGGGCATGTGTGCATGTGTGCCCAAAATCCCGAGAGGAGAATGGAGGAGAAGGGATTGCAGCATGGCCATCCCCCCTGGGGGGTGCTGTCTCGCTTTCTGTCCCTCTGTCTTTCTGGCGAGTGCACACGCCCTATAGCAAAAACCTCTCTCACTCAAAAAAAAAAAAAAAAAAAGGTAGAGATGGAATAAATAGTTGCGTTTAGAAGCAACATATCATAGTATGTTCCTTCACCATTAAAAATTGGGCAGCCAAGGGATTGGACCCATGGCCTAGTGATTAAGGGAGCCACATCCCACATGGCCAGCCTTGATTTAAATCCTGGCCCCAGTGAGTTCAAAAACACACTGAGCACATGTGCATATATGTTTGCGTGCATGCCCCAAGTCTCAACAGGATGGAGAAATGGAGGAGAAGAAATTGTGGTGTGACCATGCCTTGTAGGAGGGTGCTTTCTTCCTCCTCTCTTTCTGGTGAATACATGTGCCCTCTGGCAATCAAAAAGAAATTGGGCAGTCACAGTGTTTTTGGAATTCTTCAATCATGGCTATGTGAAATTGGAGCAGAACTTCTGGATGCTGGTAATATTCTGTTTCTTGGTTTGATTGTTGGTTACATGGTGTGCTTGGCTTATGAAGTTCATTAAGCACATGCACTTTGTGATCTGTGTACTTCTCTATATACTATACTTTAGAAAAAAGCTTTAGAAAAGAATATAGTTGTCATGGATTGCAGTACATTTTCAGGCTTTTTTTTTTTTTTTTTTTTTTTGCTATAGGGCATATGTGCTCACTATAAAACAAAGTGTTAGGAGGGAAATGGAGAAATCACTCCCCAGGGGGCATGGCCATGCTGTAATTCCTTCTCCTTTCTGCTGCTGTTGGGACTTTGGGCACATTACAACATGTGCCCAGCAGTCTTTCAAGCACTGACCCTGGGATTCAAATCACACAATTGGCCACGTGGGATCCAGCTGCCTTAGCCTCTCAGCCGTTTGGCTGGCCCTTTCCGGTGCTTTTTTGTGTTTGAGATTTAACTTTGGTGGAAGCCTTCGGCTTGGTCGTGCTTGGGTCTTTGTGACCTGATGTCCTGAGACTGCATTGTCGTGAAGGCTTTAATTAACCTACTTTTACCTTTCTTGCACTAAAGATTGTTTTGTTATTCTCACTGGCCTAATTGCTTATAATATTTACTCTGTAGTGTTTTGTCTTTAAACACACTTTTAATATCATTACGATAGCATGTTAATATTTAACATGTCACATGGTCACTGTGTGTAGAGAAAGCGTATCCCCAAAGTTTTACAGCTACCTCTTTGGGAAAGACAAATGTTAATTGACTAATTAGTTACATGGCAGCCGCGCCTGGAATTGTGACTCCAGTGATTATTCTAAGGTCTGTGTGCTAACCATTGTTTGGTAATCCCTGTGCCACTGACGCTCCTAAAACTGAAAAAAATAGAAAGTCTTAGGTGAGTGTCTGTGTCTTCACTAGGTTTTTATTTTAATTTGACCGGAGAGGGACAGAGAGAGAGAGCAGGAAAGTGAGAAAGCAAGCCACCAGGGACTTGAACCGTGGTTGGCCATGTGGGAGTACTCAGCACCCTTAACCAACATGCCACCTGTTGGCCCCAGTAAATTTATTGATATTTTATCTTATTAGAAATTAAAATTGGGGCCACCAGGTGGTATGGTGGTTAGGGTGACTGGATTCCACATGACTGACTGCATGGTCCAAGTCCTGGACCCAGTGCCTTGAAAAACACACTGGGCATGTGTGTGTCTGTATTTTGGGTATGTGCTCAAACTCCTAAGAGGAAACTGGAGAACAGAGGATTGTGGCATAGCTATCTCTCCGAGGGGTGATTCCTTGCTCTCTCTCTCTTTCTGCCTTTCTCTCCATCGAGCGCATATACCCTATAACAAAACTTAAAAAAAAAAATTGAAACTGAGAAGGTAAGAAAACTTGCTTATTTTACTTAAAAAATTAATCTGTTACTTGTTAATAAAAATAGCATGTCTTTATGTCAAGTAATGATCTTTTCCAAAGCAAGGAAAATAATTATAAAAAAGATAGAATTGTTTTACATTTTTACAAGTTCTTCAATGTCTGGCTTAATAGGATACAGTGGAACTGTCCTTTGCTTCTGTGCTCAATCTATTGCAGTAATCTAAAGTATATGACAGAATTTTGGTCTTACACAGATATGTGAATAGAAAAAAGTGGAACATTTTAATAATAGCCTTTTAAGATAGTTGTGGCTATATTTGATAACTGCATCAAAACTTGCAACTTGTTTCTTAAATGTTAGGTGCTTGTGAGGAATCTGACACCTATCAGTGAATTTCTTC